ACAATAGCTTTTGAGCGATATTTAAAAAAAATCCGTCAAAAATGGCTTGTTAAAAAGTCGAAATTTGTCTGAAGAAAAAAAACCCCACCCGAGCACAAATATTCCGTTACTTTCGTATCGAAAGTCGGAACAAAACCCTATAAAACCAAAAAGATAATGATTGAAAAAAAGCCAAAGTGATAAAAATTAGAAATGAAACAAAAAATATTACTTGAGGTAACGCTATTCAAGTTTGAAAGCTCTTTCAAACCGGATGATTTCATCCAAAATTTGTTATGAGGGAAATATTGTCGAGGATTGTTTCATCCGGACTTCTTTATGAGAAAGAAAGAAAAGGAGAAAGAATATATGTCTCTCCAGTCACTGTTTTCATTATAAACTAATTGTTCCGACTTTCGATAAGAAAGTAACGGAATATTTGTGCTCGGGGTGGGTTTTTTTTTCTTCAGACAATTTTCGACTTTTAATTAGCCATTTTAACTAGGATCTTTTTTAAAGGTATTGTTGTCCTAAGCTCAAATTCGAAAAAAATTTTTACCTGTGATCATTTTTCGTAAAATTACGGGGGTTTAAAGATTGCCATTTTGGCCAATTTGTTGGGACAACTAACGCGCGATAAATTTCGCGCTATTAACGCGTAAGCGGAGAGTTAATCCGTTCTAGAAATCGTTCCAAATTCGTTGAAAGAAACTGATTTGCCGTAGTTGAATTGTAACAAGGAGCAAAATCTATCCTTTTGTACTTTAAATGGCGTGTGGGGGGACGATTTTCATAAAAAATATCAAATTTTAGAGAAAAAAATTTTCATTTTGTTTTATTTCATTTAATTTTTGAATGTTATTACTGCTCCAGAATCCTTAAAAGGCAGTCGGAACATTCAGGGCTTCGCCTTGATACGAGCAGTCTTGTTAGTTTTTATGTTGTACTATTTTAAGCAATGATCCTCGGAGAGGATAGACAGCGCAACCATTGAAATTACCCTTTTGAGTTAAGAAATAGAAAACTAATCTTAATTTATAAGTTTCTATTTGAAGATGAACTCTCAAGTTTTTTCAAAACGCAGGAAAAAAGTGTTCAACAGGAGTGTTCAAAATTTTACAAGTGTTTTAGACTTATGAAAAAAAGGCAAAAGGCCATATCTCCCAAATAAGAAGCTTCTGAGACTTCATATTTTACAGTGTGAACATCAGCCTGAAAATATACCGGTAGAGTTTACACACTGGTTATTGTTGTTACAGGAAAAAAGATTACACATGTTTCATAAATTAAAGACAAGTTTCGTTAGACCATCATTTGCAAAAATTACAGATTTTTGGTTTAAGATAAGAGACCTTACTCTCTAGAAAACTCTCAGAGTTTTCAGGAATAATGTTCTATCGTCTTGCTAAAGTGTTCAGCTTACAAGCAGGAAATCGAATAGAAAATCAATCAAACGTTTTTTTAATATAAAGGTTCTACGAGCAATTTGATTTTTGATTTTTTTGGTTAGTTTTTGGTTTATATCAAAAAAGCACAGGGTTTTAAGAAAGTAATCTGATTGCAACATTTTTTTGAGATACAAATTCAAGCAGTTTTTAAACATAATTTAAAATTTTATTAAAGAATTACGCTCGAGAAAAATTTCATTGAAGCTCTCACTTATCTTACAAAAACAAATAAATTTAGTTATTTTTTTTTGCAGAAGAAATGAAAACTCCAGAGACTTTTAGCGTCAACAACCGTAAATCAGAATACCTTTTTAACTATTGGAGCAACCATCGCTCTTAGTTTTCCAGCAATTGAATCAAGGGTCATAATGTTTTGGTTTTGATATAATTTCAACTGTTCCCAGGGTCTCTTTTTCACGTTTCCAGTATCACTTTGAAACAATAATTAGTAAGTGATATACTTTTCTAGATATTTGCACGCTGGTTGTTTGTCACTTAGAGAAAATTTTCAGCTTAAACCGTGAATTTGTAGCACAATTTGTTTTCATTTAGACTTATGAGTAAACTGTTTGCGTGAAGTGGGCTGTCAAAATTATCTCTACCTTTTCTCGAATTTTTGTTCCAACTTTCGAAGAAAGTGACAAAATAATTGTGCTGGGGTTGTTTTTCTTCTTTGGACAAGCTTCGACTTTTTAACCAGCTATTTTTAAGGGAATTTTTTATATCATCTAAAAAGCAAGGTTTTATTGTTTTTTTTGAGCTCAAAATTGAAAATATATTTCACCTGTGATATTTTTTCGAATTGTAATGGGGGTTTAAAATTGGCATTTTCGCCAATTTAAGACAACGCGAAACACTTCTCAATGCTATGTTATCTATCACTTTGTACCCTACATGGCTTCATTTTTTAAAAACCTCAAAATTAAAAAAAATCCATCAATTGTTATAAATGATCACAAGTGAAAAAAAGTCATCCCAAGCACAAAGTTTTCTGTCATATTCTTCGAAAGTTGAGAAATTAACAACTAATTCAAAATAATTTTTTGAACATGCTGTGTTAATTCAGGTCTTGTGGTTTAGGAGACTGTTTTGTCTGTCGAGACAATTTTTTTTTTGTGAATTTCTGATCAGAAAGTAGATTACATTGAAAATTTTGCGGCGAAATCTCTCGACAGAAATTAATATTTGTTCGACTTCCCTGGAAAACACGACTTTCAGAATTTGCAATTGCCGCAATCAGACCTTAAATAGATACATATGATGATTCTAAACGTTTCTTTTTGCGGCTGTTTTTCGCACATTTTTAATTAATTAAATTTTCAGCCGATTAAAAATTACAAAGAAAATTTTCTGCTTATCACGTGAGATAAAAGATAGTGAAAGCAAACTAGCAAATAGACTACAATACTCATGAAGCAAAATATAATTGCATCAAATTAGTTCATTGCAAAAATGTACTACAAAAGTTTTGTAATTAAAACTGCCAGCATTAAAAATTTGATTTTTGAAGATGGAGTAGTGAAATTTTTTTGTTTTTGAATAAATTTGGAATCTGAATGGTTTCAAGTCTAATTTTGCGAGTTTTAAAAGAAAACTAGCCGTTTGATTTGTTTTGCACTCATTGTTTTAAAAAATCAAACAAAAGTTTTCATTTTTTTCAACGAAACAAATAAAAGTTGGCAAAAAGAGGTGGTAATTCGTCCCCCCTCTGCGATTACTATTCACCCAAACACCTCAACTCCCCTTCGCGCTTACACGCGTGGCCAGGGTTGACCAAAAAAATTTCTTATCATACAATTTTCATATATGAAAAACTTCTTACCATACAATTCCATATGTACGAAGATTGTATGAAATCTCTATGATAACCATTTTTCCATATACATGAAAATTGTATGATAAATATCTTTCCATAAACCAAAACTGTTTTTCTAAATTTAATTTCTCAAAAAATTTGGGTTGTGTTCCTAACTGAACGCAAGTGACATAGACCTTGGTTTATTCAAGGAACCAAAGTTCGATAATCTTGCATTTACACTGCATACAGCACGAGCTGAATTGTCTTTTACAAATATCTTTTACAAATGATATAACAAAAGTAACAAACTTTTAAATTTTGGCAAAATTTTTCAAAGATGATAATTTTCAAAGTTTGAGTTTTTAATTATTCATGAATTGATCTAGGCATACATAAACATGCCATACAAAATAAGTAGGTGTTTTGATTGTTTTTTTTTTTAAAGTTATCCAGAGAAACGAAAAAAATCCAATTTTTGTGTCTCAGGACTATGTTATGCACACACAAAAAATTAAATTTTGCATGCAATTCGAAATTCGTTTTGCGGTTGAAAAAAAACCAAGAAAAATTTATACCAATTTCAAAATCACTTGTGTCGCCATCAAAAAAATGCTAGTCATACAATTTCCAAATAGGATTTATGGATTTGCACGATAAGCATTTTCGGTGTATGGAGGTCAACCCGGGGGTTTGGGTGGGGTGAAAACGAGGTGTATAAATAATCAATTTTTATCCATGAAACTCCACTGCGGAATGTAATCTTTAGGTCTTCTTTAAGGGGGATAGTTAACGCAAGAGCCAATGATTTTAATTTTAACAATATTCAATTTCGACAATCTTTCGATTTTTATGCTAGTCGATACAATTTTCATTTAAAAAATTTTATGCTGGTCGAGCTTTATGCTAGTCGATACACCGCCGTGTTTTTGATGCAGAAGCAACTTGGCCTTTTTTTAAGGATTTTTTTTAAATTTTAAGACGTATTTAGCTTGAGGTCGAAAATTGGTTATCGTTTGAGAACATCATTAACTCAACGCCACTAACTCATCATTTAAGCATTAAAGTCTTAATAAGTTATGATAAACTAACTTATGTACGTTTTCTTGAAAAGCATTTTGACAAGCGAAGCCTTCGCTTGGATTCAGTAGAACATTTTCACCCCTGATTAGGCACGATAAGCCATAACCACCCCCCCCCCCCCCCAATTGGATTACAGAATTGGATTTCAATCTGTGATTGCCGTAATCAGACCTTAAATTGATTTATATGTTGATTTAGAATTTGACACTTTGCTGCCGTTTTTTTTCTAAATCTTTTCATGGCATAATGTATTCATAAGCACAATTGAAGTTGCTAACATAATTACACTTGGTTAACATTGAAGTATGAAGAAAAAAATGAAAGGTTACTAGTGTTACAATGAAAGGTTACTCAGTGTATAATAGTAAAAATAGAAAAAGTACAAAGTATGAGTTGGAAGAAAGTGTTTGACTGTTAGTGTACATGAACACAGGTGTGTGCAGTGCAAGAGGTGGACAGGGCCAACATAATTTATGAAGAGACAAGAGAGAGAAAGGAAGAGTGTGTTTGGCTATCAATTATTCAGCACTTTTTCAGCTTCCAACACACAGTAATTTATCCATATCTCCTCATCCACTCATTTCCCTGTAGTTTGTTTAGTTGGTCTGTCGCTATATTGTAGATGGTGCATTTGTGATTACTGATTGGCAATCCAACTCACAAAACACTGTTTAGAGATAAGAGAAACAAATGGAATGAGTGAGGTTGAATGGGATGGGGTGGGATGGGGTGGGATGGACAGAGGTAGGGCCACCTAACCTAACTTAACCTACTGGCCTACACGTGGCCTGCTACCTGATGCCTCCTTCATGTATAGTGCCATTATTTGTTATACTTGTCTTGTGTTGCGCCACTGTGTGCAGTTAGGGGGACCTGCCTGTGGCTGTGGCTGTGGCTGAAGCAGTATGGAGCAGTGGTCCCCCTCCTTTTAATAATGCATGTCTGTGCTCAAGTATGTGAAAAGTGATGCATATTGTAACAATAAGAGAGGCTGAAAAGATCACAGAGAGCGAGAGAGAGATAGACTAGCTGTGTGTGTGTATGTGTGTGTGTATGTGTGTGTGTGTATGTGGAAGTAAAGAGGGGACTAAGTGAAATGAGGACTAAAGAGGCACTTGGCTGATATCTTAATTTCATCAGCCCCGCCGCATAGTTGTGTTTTACACGCTCCATCTATTTGTTGTCGACTGCCGCTACTACCGCCACCGCCACCGCCTATGCACCGCGGTTGGTACTTTACAACAACGTATAAATTCAAGTAAACACTTTTACTCTGTTCCTTTCTTTTCAGCTATCTTTATCCATCAAAATTAAAATCAAATTGCTCCATACATTTCGCCGCTTATATACCTGTATCCGCATATTGCAAATAGCATCACAATCAAAACTGTTTCAAAACTACAGCACAGAAGGGACGTGTAAATTTTTCAGCGACAGCGATCGGATTTTTATCGCTTTACTGCGTTGTACAGCACAAGTTATTCATATCTGTTTTGTAGTGCCCTTTTGTACCATTCTGAAAACAAAACCTAGCCATACCATCAACAGGTAAATAATTGATATTTTTTCTTTCAATGATACCTTTTATTAAAATAGTTTCTTTTCTATCAAAACCTTTTTTCCATTAGTAAAATTTTTATGCTTAAATTATAATACTTTTGGTACTCTTTTAGCATATCCATTTTCGACTGACCGACCCTAAAATGGCGCCAAAACTTACTAATTTTGAAAGAGAAGCGCGCGCCAAAAAATGCACATTTTGGTCAAATTTTTTCAAAAGTGCCTAAACACGGTTTTAAAAAATTCGACTTCGGCGCACAAGTGCCTAAACACGGTTTTAAAAAAATCGACTGCGGCGCAGAAAATTTGGTCAATATACGGTCTTTAGATTGATTTGCGAGAGCTCAGACAATCTATTTGGTCGACTTAAGGTCGACAGCGTTTTCAAAAAAATTTCCAAACTCCACCCCTCCTCAAAAACTCCTAAATCCTCCCTGAAACTACGTTCAATAATTCATCAGCGTCGAAGACTAAGTGGCAGACACAAAACAGCTGTGTTTCCTGACGAGATACTGTAGTTTTTTTAAGTTTCGCTGAAGTCACTTCATTCAACAAGCACTCTCGATTCCACAGAAGAACACTAAGTTACCAATCTGCGCTTCTATTCTTTTGCTATCCATTTGCATTTTTTGTATCTTGGTTTCGACTTTCAAAGAAAGGATGGAATAATTGTTGCATATTTTTCAGCGTAACTTGGGCAAATTTTTAGCGTCCTTTTGCCAATTTCTAAACTATTTTAAGTGAGTTTGATCAATAGTAAAGTTTAAGGATGCGGGGAGAGTAGACTAGCCCTCAAAACGTCCGTATTTTGAGTCAATACAAAACTAGTTCCAATCTGTCCAAAATGGACGTATAATAACAGGTGTGGCCGCATTTCGTGGCAAACGACAACTCGGTGCATATATAAAAAGCGGGCGACAGTTCGACGCGAATCAAATTAATCAAGTTTCATTACGTACTAGTTCCGCGAAACATTCCCTATCAATTCCTTCGCCCGCTAAGGTACGGCTGTTTGGTTGCTGTTCATTGCTAAACCAAACTATTGCTCCAATTTTTGAAGATCCCGAGAAAACCAGCCAGAGAAAATCTGTGCTCTGGATGGTTTTTGTTCCAGATTTTTGTGACTTTTGAACTTGCAATTTTTACAGAACATTTGAATTCATTCAACAGATAATGTTGTTTTGAGCTCAAATTAAAGATATTTCTCCTATGATTGTTTTTCTTAGAGAATATAAGAGTTAAAAGGTTGTCAACTTTTTTTCGGCGCTAGTGTACTTCGGCACTATTGTACTGCTCTTAGAGAGGTGTTCAATAGTTCCGAACTACAAAATTGCAGAAAACTAAACTGTTGTTCAACAGTGCCAAAACTCAGCAGTTTTTGGCACTGTTGTACTGCCCCCATTTTTTGTAACATAATTGGGTTTTTGAGATTGCCAATTTGCCAATTTAGCCAATTTAATTGCCAATTTGGCCAAACGCGATTTATTTTTTGCTATTAACACGTAGAAATCCTCGTAGAAACAATTATTTAAAATGACACGTGTTCATTCCAATACTTAACTAAATATGAGAAATTACTTCGTATTTTACATAGCTTGATCAGAATTTTGTATTTATCTTTTGTTAAAAATTTTGTCATTACGAGGCCAAACTGTGCATTTTGTGAATTGTAATCGGATTCCACAACAGGCAAGAATAAGATTTGTCGCGGAATGAGCAACATTGCTATTTTTCTTTGGTCTTCTTCGCTGGTTTGGATTCCACGGACAAATAGCAAAGACATTGTATTGCTTGAAAGCGCTCCAAAAACAGGCAACTTAGCGGAATCCGCAACAAAATGTGTGGAACCCGGAACCAGATTGGGGAATACATTAACAAAGAATGATATATGTGTTAAGTAAACTTAAGCAACTGTTAGTGGAATCCGCAAATTGTAGGCGGAATCCTCATAAATTTGCGAAATCCATTTACATTTGCGGAATTCGCTTACATTTGCGGAATCCGAAACATTTACCTATATTCGCTCGTTGCCGAACCGCAACAAAATCAATGTGCCGATAAAATTTACGCTACAAGTATTTGTACGCGGAATCCACTGAAATTTTTGTAAGTGGAATCTACTTTTATTTTGGAACATATTTAAAAACTTGTCTCTGGAATCCAGGAAAATATAGACACAAAATTGTGCGCCTATCCAGTCCACAGTTTGGACTCGTAATAAATTGAAATTGCATATAACTTTTTTCCATTAAGCCAATTTGCAGTGGAACATACTTTTAAAATAATAGTCAAATAGAAAACAGGTACTCCATCGACATAAAATTGCAGTTGAATCATTCAGAGTTTCACCCTCATGCGAGCAGTCTTCTTAATTTTTATTCAGTTGCCATAAAAATTTGCCTGTGGGGTTTGTTGCCCAATTTGTCTTCATACAAATTTGTTAAGTTTATTTATACCTGAAACGTAAAGTTGATTCAGTTAACAAAGGTAATGCTCTAATAAGAATAAACTTTCGGCTCTTTTTCACTCCCGCACGTCTGTCGAATTTTTTTTTTAGTTTAGTTACTTGTTATCATTGCTAAAAGCTTGATGTTACGATGTAAGGTTTGAAGA